GACGATCGCGCCCTTTGCCTCGGCCGAGGTATCCGGAGAGGAGCGTCCCCGTGCGCGCGCGCCCTACGCCGCGTGGCTTTTCTTCGTTCCAGAAAATATTTACGCGCCCGGTCCCCCGACGCAGACGCGTCTGTACAAATCAGTACGATTCGCGTGTGCGCGCGTATAGATACGCGCGCGTCTTTCCGTACGCGCGTGCGTCTCTAATAAACGCTTAAATACAATATATTTTTATCTAGAGAGATATTTCTGTACGCAGCTAAACGCAAATATAAATACGCACCTCTGCGCAAACGTATACGTACGCGCGTGCGCGTTTACCGCAGATACGTATACGTATAGACATACGCGCTTTCCATACGCGCGCGAGCGTACGTATATAAAGCCCGTGAACGATATTGACGGACGACTGACTCCGGGCAGAGGCGTCAAGAAGCCGCCGGAAAGGAGGAGGTTCCCTCGTCACCGGTCGGGAGAGCTCGAGAGACCGGCAGCAGACCTAGTGACGCGTCGCGGTCCCCGGCTATCTCCCTTTTTTTCCCGGCACGGATCAAACCTGCTACCTGCGGATCCGCTCAAAAGCCCCGCGGACAGGCGGCAGGGCTGATAACCTCCGCCTCGTCTCCGTTCACCTACGCGGAGGGGAAAATCCGACCCCGGCACCTCGGGCGCGGCCGTCCCCCAAAGGGACGGCGCGCTCCCGCGGCACGGACCCGGCTCTCGCGAAGCCCGTCGGCCCTCGGGGCGCCCGGACGCCTCCCCGTGCGCTTCCACGCAGACGGAGCTTTGCCGATTTCGGACGCGCGGAAACGCGGCGCGGCACGTGCCCCGCGACTTGGAAGCCTCCGGCCCTGTGAGGAGCTACCCTTGCTGACAAAACACGTTCGGGATGTGACAGACGATCGGTCCCTCTCCGGGTACGGTATCCTTCCAGACCCCTACTGCCTGACACCGCTTCGCAACAGGGCCGAGACGAGGTCGGAGCCCGCCGCTCGCGTACCCAAAGAAACGTGCCGCGCGCCCTCCGCCAAAGTACCTTCTGCTCCGTTTGCCGGGCCTGCTGCCCTTCAGAATCGCATCCGCCTCGAGGCTATCCTTCCCGTACGGCGCTACCTTCCGCTGAAGGTAACCGCGACCGACGTTTTGGGAGACCGATTCCCTTCCGGGACTACAAAAACGCCGGTCTGCCCAGAAAGCAGCTCCCCTGTAAAAGACGACACGCTTCCACGCCTCCGTCTCGAGCGTGCGGCTTTTTGCCACGGGCTGCGCCCAGACTAGTTAAAACCCCTGCCCTCCTGCCGAGCGTCCCCAGGTTCCGCATCGGAGCCTTCTTACTGCACGAGGGACTTTGGGCCCCGGGTTTCAACTCGCGCCCGTTTGCTCGCCCTTCGAGCGGAGAATCGGGGACGCGCTCGTGCGGGGAGCCCGGCGGCAACCCGCGCCGTCGCGGCGCTGGGAAGCGGGGGCCGAGACCTCCCTCTGCCGTCATCGGGGCGATGCCTCTCCAAAATC